AATGATGATGATGATGCTGATGATGATGGCGATGATGGTGATGATGGTGATGACGACAACGACGACGGCGACTGTGATGATGATGATACGATGATAAGAACAGTCAGAATGATAATAGTGACAATGATAATTATCATCATAATCATATTCATAATCCACCAGCCCCCTTGCGGGGCCATCAGGCTGCGAGGTTTAGGCTTGCTGCTCCCTGCACCAGTTCCAGAATCCAGTATCCAGTGTTATCTGGCTTCCAGTCTCCAATGTTACAGTCCTGTTTCTGCTTCCTTCTGTAAATTGTTACTGTCCGTGCAAGGGGGAAGCCCCAAACCAGCAAATGCACCACGCTCAAATCACGTCCTCAGAAGGCCTGGGGGGGGGGGCGTGGGACACATAAAAACAAATAATACTCGCGCCTCCGAGGCCATAACCCTTGTGTAGATTACACAAGTATCGCGTCCCCGAGGCCACTAACCCATGTAAAGTACACAAGTTGTGCGCCCCTGAAGTAATAAGCCTTCGAAAATTACACCATGCTCGCGACCCCGAAGCCATAAACGTTTGAAAATTTCGGTGCCTTCGCACTGCCGAAGCCAAGAGTGCTCCAAGGCGCCCGAACACGGTTCCAAGACGGCCCAAGAGGGCAAAGAGGCCCCAAGAGCGCTCCGAGAGGCCTCCCGAGAGCCCAAAGAAGCCAAAATCGTTGGTGTCACGAAGGTGTTTGAAAGATTTTGGCCTTCTCGAAGTTTCGGCTTTCCAGCGCTCCAAGACGGCTCAAGAAGCTCCCGAGATCGCCCCAACACAGCCCAAGACGCATCCAAGAGAGCCCCAAGACGGCCCAAGAGGGCTCCAAGATGGCCCGAGAAGCTTCAGACGGTCCAAGAGGGCCCAAAGACGGCCCCAACAGGGGCCCAAGCAGGGGGCCACGAACCGAACAGTCGATATTTCTGCCCCAACAAGCTCCCAACATCGCCCACGAGGCCTCCAAGATGGCCCCATGACGGCGCAAAAGGCCCCCAAGACGGCCCCAAGAGGGCCCCAAGAGCCTCCGAGACGGCCAAGATTGCCTTCAAGACGGCTAAAGATGACCCCAAGATGCCTCCAAGACGGCCCAAGATGCGACCAAGACGGCTTGAGATGGCCTCAAGATGGCCCAAGACGGCCCAAGAGGCCCCCGAAAGGCCTCCAGGCGGCACAAGAGGCCTCCAAGAGGTCCTCCACGAGGACCCGAAGAGATCCAAATTCTCCAAATTCATTTTTTCCCTTGTCGCCATTTCGTCTCTGCTCCAATGCGCCACTAGCCACGAGGCTTCAACCGCCACCCCCCACAGCTCCGGAACCGGGCACTGCGAGGGCTTCGGATTGGCCGCACAGTGCCCGCGGGCCACGATCAGATGACGAACGCCGCGCCACCACCCCAGCGGCACAGCGGCCAGAGCCAAAGGCCAGCGTTCAGAGACGACACTGCCCCTGAAGTTCATTGCATTCCCTCAGACAGAGCTGTTTCGGCCCCCAAAGACACACCCGCAGGGGCAAGCCACCCAAGCCCTGCACGGAGGTCAACCCACGCCTCGGCAACAGCCACATGCCTCCGAGTCAAAAGACGGAGGCGACCTTCAAAGTTTTGCTGCGCCGTGCCAGGCAGGCTCAGCCTCACACGGTGGTGAGTACGCAGGAAAGCATCACACATGCAGGCACACAGCAGCGACACATTCGGGGGAAGAGGATAGAGCTTAATCAGCGCGGCAATCCATGGAATCATCACAGGGGCAATTGGAAACGCAGTACCCATCCATTGAACACATAAGTCGCGGAAGCGATAGCAGAATTTGTCATGACGTAGATCATCACAGCCCCGAGACATATCAAACCCATATTCCCGATGAGTACACCCAAGGATACAGCCACGAGGATGAGAGTGGAAGCGAGCACTCGTACACACAGCACGCGTGCAGATACGAGGAACACACATAGCAAGGCAAGGGGAAGTCGCTGCTGCGTCACATCGGTTTTGAAGGACAAGATGGGAGAGACTACTGCAATCCACTTCAAGCAGCCACTTTCTCAGTCGATACTGAAGGCCTTCCACCGTAGGTCCAGGAAGAGGAAGGGCGTGGAGAAGGGCGTAGAGTTTCCGTTGGAGAGTATCAGGGGGAAGATCGGAGAGCTGCACAATACTCTGGACACTCTGCACCACCTCAAACATCTTATGTGAAAACGACCTGCGATACCATCCCCGTGGGTCGACAACTCTAGCATAACAGATTGCGTTGCTCTCAGTGAGCTTCAGCAACTCGCCCCAGCACTCGCGAATGCCAGGGCACTTCACAGCAAGACGGGCGCGGCAGGCACGCGAGAGAGCAACAAGATCTGGGGACTCGATACTGAACCCGAGCTTCTGGAGCGAGACAAGCATGTTATACGAGAACGCATTGTATGGGCCACCCGTCAGGCATTGTAGCATGTGCTTGTATACATGCATGACCTGTTTCGTGACTGGCTCAACTTGGAGGACAAACTGGAGCACAGAGAGGCACATTCCCAAAAAGGTAGAAACTGTCATCGCATATCCAGGGGCGAGCTGTCGGAGCATCGCACACCTTGCAACAAATTTCGACAGCGGGGCACCCCATGCCACACCAGCAGCACATGGGCCAATATAAAGCCCAAAGTACTTGATAGCAGAACTTACTCCCACCAACTCCAAACCCCTCGCCTCCTTGGACATCATGTCACTGACCTCCTCCTTCCTAACCCTCCCACATATCAGAACAGTGAACTTGCGAAAGTTGAGCGGCAGTCCAATAGCTGACTCGAGGACGAGAAGCATGCGCCCCACGGCAGTAGTCGAGCGAAAGACATCCACCATTCCAAAAGGCAGTCGTCAGCATATGCAAGGCAAACAGCAACATGGGCGGGGAGGGTCTGCTGCATCCATCGCAATACAGGACCAATGCAAGGACAGAAGACGGCCATAGAGCTAGGGTCGCCCTGACGCACCCCCCTCTGGATAGGAAAGCTTCCGAATCTCTGCCCACCAAGAGTTACCACGCCCTGGATATTCTTCTAGAGCACGAAGTAGAAGTTAGTGGTGAAGGAGGGGGCATTCATAACATTGAGCACGGCAAACATCCAAACACGCAGAAGCGACGGGAAAGCAGCGGAGAAATCAGTCGAGAGGATGGCAGCCGAGTCATGCGCGAGCAGCTCTTGTTGCAGCCCCCAACTTTCTGCCTGACTATATTCGTGAGCATTTCTCTACCTTTTAACACACGTCTGGAGGTGTGCGACAATCACTTTAGAGAGCTCGTTCACTGGGTGGCAGAACACAGCAGAGAGGATCTTCGCATCGGTGTTAGACATGGAGAGCGGGCGCGCGCATGCTGCATCCCGAATAATGTTCCCTGCCCCGTCCCCCTCCTGCTCACCCTTAGGTAGGAAAACCATCAGTCGCCCCCCATATCGTCAGGCAGCTCTGAAACATTCCCATTGGTATCTCAAGATACAAATTGTAGAGGTATCCCGGCGCATCCCCAATTCGCCAGAACGCATATGGGATGCCGTCTGGTCCAGGCATCGAGTTACGGCAGTGTCGTATATGTTCAGGAAGTCCATTTAGTACAGTATTCAACCTCCCAGGAAACCTCGAGGGCCTCGGGAACCATCTGAACATGTCTCAGAATTTCCGCCCACCTGGAACGATCTTCCGTTGCTGGCGAGAGGGGGGGGGGGGGGGGGGGGGGGGGGGTGGGGGGGGGGGGGGGAACTTCCCCAATTTTCAGCAAGCACGTTGGCCGATTGCTCGAGTGTCGTACACGGGCTCCCGCAAGCGTCTAGTACGGAGGCGAGACAGGCTCGCCTTCTGAATTCCCTCCAAAGCTCAATCTTCCTCAGTAGTTTTGCTAGTGCAGCCTTCTTGGTACCATCGTTCATGCTGTTCCCGTTCTCAATATCCTCCCCCTCCTCCCCAATGAAAATATCAACATAAATCCCCTGCGTCAATTCACAAAGACCATGGCGGTCGTGACAGAGCAGGATCTCGCAGCCAAAGAACCTCTGAAGCTCGGGGTAGCAACTGACAGCCTTGCACACCATGTGGTCCTGCCGCGCATGTATCCCCCTCAGG